CCCAGCCCAGGTCAAAAAGAACCAGCCAAGCCAGAGAAAGTTCTCAGGTAAAGAGGAGCGAGAAACTGGTGGTGCTGCCGGCATTTGGCAACCTGCTGAGGTGAAACCAGGACACTGATGAACGCATTGGAAAAATCATATACTTGCACCCCAAAATTGAGGAGAAGGAAAGAGAATGAAAGCCTAGAGACAGAAATACATGCCTTCAGGAAACATACGATTATACACAAAATAAACTGTACAAACACGTATGATGGGTTCTTTGGGCAGTGGCAGGGGTAAATGTTGATCATATTTTCCCATGGGGCATGGTCGAAAGAAGGGGAGATCTTCTGGTGAGTTCTACCACTCTCTGAAACCCTCTGGGCACAGGTCATCCGTGAGCACACCAGGGCCCCAAAGAGGACCAGGCAGATGGGGCGCTATCTCTTAGAGTCATGCCCTTCGTGGTTATACCCTTGATGCCTCAATTGCTTGACCCTAGTCCCAGCCCGGAGTGCACACACCACCCCGCTGGATAAAGAGCACTCAGGTTTCTGATTCAAAGCCCAAGCACAGAGTAAAGGGGGCTGATTTTCATTATTGGCCCATCCTTTCACTACAGAGATAAAGGAGCTAGTCACACTCCATCCAACCAGCCTCCGTCCGTACTCTGTCCATACTCCATCCATCCTCCATACTCGAGTTTCACATAGGTGTCCCTCAATTTCCGACAAGGAGCTCAGTTCACCAGCTTGCTTTCCAGAGGTTGACAGAGCCAGATGTACCTGGCCAGGAGCTTCTGCTTTTCAATGAAGCCAGTATATAATAACATCATTTATTATCCTGCTAGAGAAATGTAATATGTTTAAAAGGTGGGGAGGAAGAGAACACCCTCTACACATTTAAGGAACATAAAAAAAAGCCTCCAAAACCCCAGAATATGTTAGAACTAGAACTAGCATGGATTAAAAAAAAGCTTAAATTTAATAGACCATTTAAATTCCTAGTTGATGGTAATTAGAGAGCAAGCAACATTTCTTTAAACGCTGCTAGACAGAACCTAATCCAATTTAGGTAATCACTAACCTTTGCAGATTTTTCTTTTTTTTTGCCCCTCCCTCTCTCTCCTCTAAATGAAATCCAAGGATTGATCTACAAAGGCCATACACTGGCAAAACATAAGAAAAGAGTATTTAAAGACAGAGACTGGGTGACTATTACCACAAAAGACCAAGTCCAATTAAAATGGAAACAGGTCTCATGAGCTCCCTAATTTATATTGCCTATAAACTGGGGATTCTAACCAGGCATCGTCACAACCGAAGGTATTCTGAGGGAGGTGGGGGTCCTTCCTTCCCCGCTGTCCCCCTCTGGGCACCTCCCAGGGCAGGCCAGTTGCCAGGTCTTGCGTTATGGGGTGAGAGCCATCCCCTGCTAGACCAAGGCTAGTAATCCTCTATAAAGTATCTGCAGGGCCTGTCTCCGCCCATGGAGTAATGACCGTGAGAACGACCCAGCTGGTCCCTTCAGCTCCCCCACTGCTCACCCACCTCCTACACCCCCATTTCTAGAGTTCCCACACTGCTCAGGTACCCACTTCTGATCCAGAAACGTCCATGTGAACCACCAGGACTTTCTTGATTACGTGGCACCCTGGGTTCTTCACGGAAGGCTTTCAAGGGTATATTATCAAAACGTCCTGGAAAGCACAAGGTGCTTAAGTTATTGGCTCTTCCGTCAGGAAAGGAATTGACCTCTCAGAATCTCTCTTTTCACATCTTCAAATAGGGAAAAAAATATTCACCTGGTCAGATCGCTGAGAGGCTCAAATGACATCACCATGGCTGCACCTGGCTCATAATAGCTACCCAAGAAATACCTTGGCTTGTTTTAACTGTGTAAGTTTCAAAGTAAACCTTGGATCCCCGGTCCCTGAGAAAAATCATCATTAACTCAAGTTCACCTCTGATGTCTCATCATGGCTTGGTGTTATTTACACTCCCAACCTCCTTCCTAGCTCCCTTGCCTTCTGCTTATCAGGATATCACTCCCTCTGTTCCCAAATCCCTAATCCAGCACAAAATCCCCAAAATACTGTATTCTCAACCTTCAGCAACAGAGATATTCACACTGACTTGTTAACGAATGATACGGTCTCTAAGCATTACTTCAAACATTTGCATACAGAGGAGGCAGCTCTAGAGAACAAACTTTTAACGACAAACATTAAACAGAGTAGAGACCTCTCAGAGGAGCTCACACCCCACGTCTCAAGTCAATTCTGTATTGGCCTCGCTCTGCAAACACCATCAGAAGGAAAAAGTCTGCAATTCAAGAAAGATTTCAGTACACTTGACCTTATACAAGGGCTCTGCAAAAGGAATGACCACAGAGAGTCATGAGGGTAGAAAAATCATCAAAAAATCCACAAACTCCTAATAATTCCATTTTCTACAGATAAATAGTTTAAATCTTGCACCTACACCGTCCGTAAGCAAACTGAGGATGATGACATTTAGGTCTGGACTACCAGCATGAAATCTTCAGGTTACCAGAGTAACAGTTTTCTAAATACAAGATTAAGATTTTTTTTTCCTTCAATAATTGAGCCATTCTGTGCTACTATGTGACATAGAGAAAAAATAAGAAAGAAGCCACCAAATGACTCCACTATAAGATGATCTAGCCAACAGCTGAGAAACAAAAAACTGAAGGGAAAGATCTCCAGGACCGGCTCCCACTAGAGGCCTGGAGTAACAGATCCAAACCCCTTCCTCGGCTCCACTCCTGTGTGTGTGACTTGGGACAAACCACTTCAATGGTTTGTCCAAACCCTCCATGGGTTCATCATTATAGTGGTGGGGATATAACGGTACCTACCTCATTGCTGTTTCCCTGCAGATTTTGTTCTGTTATCAATGTCTCTCAGGGCAAAGTTTAAGACATCGTAAGAATTCAAGGAGTGTTTGCCCCCCTCTTCCTTCTTTTCTAAATAAAGGCGTATTTTTATAATGTTCAAATAACAATCATTATTGAAATCTCGCCCCCCAGAAATAAATATCCATGAGCCTCTGCATCTGAAAGAAATGAGGTCTCCTCCTTAAGAAACAAGGTAGTCTAAACTAAACCCTGGAGAAATAAGACAGTTGGACCAACTCATTTCTAATGTCTTTCTTTTTTACACTATTGATGGTTCAGGCTGTTAGAAGCATCGGTAAGATACAGAAAGGACAGTGGTTGGGGTTGGAAAAACCAAAGACCATTTTGTGGACTGCTCAAGCATTGTTCCCTTTATCTGCTATAGAATAGGCTCTCGAAGGCACCCTCGGTGGGTTAAGAAGGGCTCAGCCCTGCGGCCAGGTTCCACAGAGAGGACAGCCCACCGCACCTTTCTCGATAGTACCGGGAACCTCAACAGAGGCTTACATTGAAACCGTTTCTAAATTAGCCTCTGCAAGCCCCATTTCCCCTCCTGACCCACTTGCTGCTTCAGGATGTCAAGAACAGCGCCTTCCAGCAGAGAGCAATTTACCAGAGTTCAGCACCCGGGATATTGTGCACCGCACTGCGTAGACCAATGAAATGTCAGGACAGCAACGCACGGTGGTGGTCAGGGTCACCAAAGGGAACTCCAAAAGAAGCAGTGTTCGAGGCTTGATCAACGAGCAGCTTTTGGAGGAGCAGTAAAGGCTGTTAGGGCCCTTGACCGCTTTGGTCCTTCGTGTGGGCCCTTTTGCACGGATCCTGGGGACAACAGGTTCGAGAACTCCGCCGCGGCAGGGATGCCCCGGGACCCTCCCAGAGCGTTTAACGTGCGGGTCTCGGGAGCAGACTTGCCTCCGAGCGGCCGCGCGTGAACCTTGCGTCCTGTGGGGCGCATCGCAGTTATTGAAACCTTATACACCGCAGGACTGCAGCGCCGTCTATAAATACTCCCCGCCTTACTGCTGACAAACAAAACGCCGGCTCCCGGCCCCGCGGAGGAAGAGGCGGCGGCATGTGACCGAGGGCAGGGGCAGGGTCAGAACCCTGTTGCCTACCAGGGAGGCACCCCAGGGCCGATTGCTGAGGCACAGTTTGCAAGCATACCCCCTGATGTGACCCGGGGCGCCCGCCCTCAGGAACAGGGGCCGAGGGCCGGGAAGGGAGGGTCGCGGCCCCGAGAGTGGTGGGGCGGGGGGGTGGGGGGATCCGGAGAGCCCCCTACGCGCGGTGGGCGCCCGGCGTGCGCACAGTAGGCGCGCAGACGAACGCCTAGCCAAATGGAGGGCGGGCGGGAAAGCCGGCGCTGAACCCGGGTGCCGCCGGCGCCGAATAGCCGCCCGCCCCGGCCGGGTGTCTCGCGGGCTGCGCCCCGGCCCGCCCTAGGCGGCGGAGCCCAGCGGAGCGCGGGACAAAGCGGCTGGCCTCCCTGCCCTCCCTCCCACGCCTGTCTCTGCAAATAGGGGGACAGCAGGAAAAGATGGGCTGTCTCGGGGCGCCCGATCGTCCGCGCCCCAGCCGGGGCAGCTCTTACAGATTTGCCGCCTCGGGCCCAGGGAGAACGAGGGAGGCAAACAAGCAAACTTTCTTCTTTGGTCTCCTGGCACAACCTGGGTCCCGCGGTGGGCGGCATTCCCCCATCCCGCGCTAAGCAGCACGGCTTTCTCCCCCGCCCCAGCCCGGGGGGCGCCAGTCCGCTCGCCTCCGTCCTCCTGCTGCGTGCGATCCGAGGATCCTGCACCGTGCTGGGGTCCCCATCCGGTTGCCCCCAAATGTGACGCTTTCCCCAAGCCCCCCCCTAACCCCCTCCCCGGCTCGTGCCCCGCCAGTCCGTGCCCGGAGTGCACGGTGATTTCGTGCTCAATCCCGTGCGGTTGCCGGGCGTACAACTCCAGCCCCTCCCCGGGACTTCCCCACTCACCCCCTTGGGGTCCCGGGTCTGAGTCACCTCGAGTTGCGCACACCCGCAGCTCGCCTCCGCCCGAGACGGCGCGCCTAGGACAAAGTTTCCGGTCTTCCCGAGAAAGTTTTCTCACCGGCGAGCAACGAGGGATCTGGATCGCTCTCCTGCAGCGCGCTGCCCAGCTCTCCCTCCCCGCGCAGCGCCGGCCTCTGCGGGGTCCAGTCCAGCCTCCCGACCGCCAGCGCGGGTCCACGAACGCCGCGGCCGCGGAGCTCCCCGAGCCGGGCTGGTGACACGTTTCCCTCCTCTCCTCTCAAGGCCGCCTCCTCCCCCTCCTTCTCCTCCTCCTCCTCCTCCTCCCACTTTTCCTGTCCGGTGCTCATCGCTTTAGTTTCTCTCCCGCGGCCCCCACCCCACCCCACCCCACCCCACCTCAACCCCTCCTCCTCCCCTGCAGCGACTCTCGCTCGGCTGGGGAGGGGAGAGGGGGAGGGGGCGCCTGCACTTTAATCCAGATCAACAATTTCAGGAAATCCAACTCTTAACTTGAAAAGCCTGGGAGGATGCAACAGGTCGAGAGAGCTCACACAAGAGGAGGTCCCCCTCTAACCTCCACCGAGGGATCTCCGCCACGTCCCCCTACCAAGGGAAACTCTACCAAGAAGCCATGGGACTGTTTCTGAGGCTCACCAGAGTCCCCGAGAGCCTGGGACTTTCGCCGTTGTTTCAAGGAACAGTCCCCAGGCCGTTTCCAGGAACAGTTGTTTCAAGTGCATTAATGAAAATACAATTCCAGTGAAGTCTCTCCTTCAGATTTGCAAAACCTTTTTCAAGTTCCCAAATTCTCTTTCCAGCTTGAAGGTTTAGTGAATTGGAGGGCCCCTCAGAGTTTGAAACAACAGAAAACCCCCCAATCTCAAAATTAAAAACAACGTAAAATTATTTTCTTTCTGCAGGTGGTAAGAATTTGAGGCAGCTGTTTTCAGGACCCACTGGCTTGTATAATTTCACCCTATGGTTGAGCAGGAAATACTTTTAAAATGCTGCCCGCTCAAACATCACACTTAGGCTTTGAAACCACAGTGACATTTGCTGAAGAAAAGATGTGTCGTTTTATGTCAAAACTGAGGGGGGGAAAATGTTTATTTTGATCACCGTGACCTTACAAGACCTATGTAAGCAAGGGTTGCTGGTCAGGGTGTGCCCAAGGGAGGGGGCTTAAGGGGGGGTTGGTGAAACTCCCCCAGCCCCGCTTGTCCAATGATATTAACCAATTCTCAGTACAAACCCCAGGGTGTTGAAAAGACTTTAAATCTCATCCCAGAAATCACACACATGGAGAAGCTCCAGACTCCAGGCACGTGCCTGGGAAAGGAAAACATGAGGGCCAGGGACTTGAGGGATGTCCTCGTGGGAGCTGTGGGGAGGTCTGAAGAGCCAAAGCCTAGAGCCAGAAGGCCAAAGTTTGAATCCCACCTCCTCCTTTTACTAGCTGCCGGATATTAGCCAAGTTAGTTAGCTCCACTATGCCTCCGTTGACTCCTGTGACAATGGGGATAAAAGTAGGAGTGACCTCAGGGGCACTAGGAGAATGTAATGAATTCAAATGGAGAAAGCGCTTAGAATCTCTGTCGGATTTCAACCAAAACTAAGCCATTATTATTACTATTATTATCTCGAAGTTCAGGACAGTCAAAAAGGAGCCATGTCTGCAGAGCTGCGGGAAGCTAGGAAAGCCTGGGCACGCTCATTCTACATTCGAACCCCCTCATCTCCTTCAAATCTTTGTTCAGGAAGGCCCACCCTATTCTGTTTCAAGTTGTAACTCCTTCATCCCTCCCAGTCCCCCTCACTAGACTCTACTTTTCCTTTTGTCCATTGCATTGATCACCTTGCCACGTATTACAGAATTTACTTTTTTTAAGAAAATGTATCTCCCGGGGCGCCTGGGTGGCTCAGTGGGTTAAGCCGCTGCCTTCGGCTCAGGTCATGATCTCAGGGTCCTGGGATCGAGTCCCGCATCAGGCTCTCTGCTCAGCAGGGAGCCTGCTTCCCTCTCTCTCTCTCTCTCTCTGCCTGCCTCTCTGTCTACTTGTGATCTCTGTCAAATAAATGGATAAAATCTTTAAAAAAAAAAAAAATGTATCTCCCACCACCTCCTACTTCCAGGGCAAGACATCCACTCTACGGGAACATGGGTTTGTTCTGTTCGCTGATACCATTCATGATCCTAGAACAGTACCTGGCACATAGTTTACACCCAGTAAATATCTTTCCCCAAGCCCCCCCCCGCCCCCGCCCCCGCCCCGGCGCCCCGCCAGTCCATGCCCAGAATGCAAGGTGATTTCATGCTCAGTCCCATGTGGTCGACAGGAATGGATTCATTCAGCAAATTGAAACTGTGCTGGTGAGATGGGTTGGGCACTGTGCAATAAGAAAAAAAAAACTTAAGGGGTTCCTGGATGGTTCAGTTGGTTAGGGGTCTGCCTTAGGCTGAGGTCATGATCCCAGGGTCCTGGGATTGAGCCCCACATGGAGCTCCCTGCTCAGCGGGGAGCCTGCTTCTCCCTCTCCCTTCTGACTGCTGCTCCCCCTGCTTGTGTTTTCTTTCTCTCTCTCTCTGTCTAATAAATAAATAAAAATCCTAAAAAAAAAAAGAAAAGAAAAAAACTTAATCATTAGGCCTCTCCAAGGATAAAAGAGGCTCCCTCTGGAAGAAGTGCGCTCTATAGTAAAGAGAAGGACCCACAATGTAGGTGATGCCAGCTTGGTGGGGAAGCCATAAAAGAGTATTCAAGGACCAGAAGGGAGGTTTAAAGAGGTTAATATCTCTTCTAAACCTAGGAGTTGTGAGTTTTGTAACCTGAGTTTTCTTAAAATTTAAAAGTAGCCAACATTTGATGTAAATCGAATTAGAGCTTCTCTCTAAGAACAATTACTACCAGGATCTTATACTTGTCAACACTCACATTTTTACCAAAACTCTATCTAAATGCAAATGGAACATTGCCTTTCCCTAAAAAACAGAATTTTATTAGGAGAAACCAATACAGATCTTTCTATTTACACATTTGTTCACGGAGATGAAAATTGTAGTTCTTTGAAAGACATATCAGGTATGCAGCCTGCCATGGCCGCAGCCTCTGGAATGGAAGGTGGCTGAACCAAGGTCCCTGCTGAAAAGGCAGGCCTTAGGCAGCCCTTTTAAGATCAAGGGCAGGTACCAAACCCAAATGCGCCAAACTCTGTAACAAACCTCTGTGACCAACTGTGGCCCGGAAAAGGTATACTGGGCCAATCAGAATCCCTTTCAGGAATGCAGACATACACAGGTGCACGCACACAGAGCTAGTATCCAGAACAGATGCTGAGAGGTCACGACTTTATCTAAACTCTCAATTCTAGTAGCTGCATCATCTGTGGACCAGCTAGATGTAGATTACAGGCATATTTTTTGAACCCCACAGTATCAACATTTTTTAAATTACTCGCCCCTATGTAAGAATCAAAACACTTCATGCAAAAATGTGGATTTTCAGCTGGCACTGACAAATCTGAAAGGCCCGGCGCTGTTTACGCTTCAAGCCCGCCCAGCCACGGAGCACTAGTGCTGGAGCCCGTCTCCCTCTAGACAGGGCCGGGAGGTTTCAGTTTGCTACAGTCTCAACCACTTCTTGACCCCACTTCCCTGGGTGAGGCTAGAGAAGGGATGCTGGGACCTAGGTAGGATGGGCCAGAGCCACGAGGAAGCAGAAATAATGCAAGAGAATGGCATGGGTTTGGATCATTTTCTCCCCAGCAAGAGAACCTTTCCTTTCAACAAAACCTTGCTTGACGTGGCATGACGTGCACATTGCTGAAATAAAGGAAACTGGCAGAGATACGGAGGCAAGTGGGCAGCTAGACAGGGAGACACAGAGGCCCCCTAGGGGCTGCCCTGGGATCAAAACCACCATCCAGTTTCTGTTCTTCCTGGAGGTCTGTTGTTCTCCTTTTCCTTTGTTCCCATAACAATGCCCGCCCACCCCATCTTCATAACTCATTCCTGTCCCCCAAAGTCTAGCCAGACCAAGTTCAGAAAGGGCAAGGCGGGGCGCCTGGGTGGTTCAGTTGCTGGGCGTCTGCCTTCGGTTCAGGTCATGATCCCAGGGTCTTGGGATCAAGTCCCACATCGGGCTCCCTGCTCGAAGGAAAGCCTGCTTCTCCCTCTCCCACTCCCCTTGCTTGTGTTCCCTCTCTTGCTGTCTCTCTCTGTCAAATAAATAAATAAAATCTTTAAAAAAAAAAGAAAAGAAAAGAAAAGAAAGGGCGAGGTGACTTGTCCAAAGAAGGATAAGGCAGGGATCCCTGATACCAGTTCAGCCCTCCTGTATTACACGATGCTCCCTCTTGGTATGATTAACTGCATCTGTCTCTGAATGATAATTAAAATCACTTGAATTTACAATATCCTAGTACTGAATGCCTTGAGGATCTGTAGTAAAACAAGTACCTGCTAACTTTGGGCGTTCAAGTTTGGGCCTCCTTCCATAATACTTTGACATCTCATACAATGTCTTACAGGCATTCCAATGAAGAAAAGCATCATATATTTTCAAACATTTTCTCCTTTTTGCAGATGGAAAAATGGAGGTCCTGGAAATCCAAGATCCTTTGCTAATGCCGGGCAGAGAGTTTGTGAGCACAGGCGGGTCTCCTAAGCGCGTGCAGCAGTAGAACACACAGTTTTTCAGGTTCTCAGAGCTCCGGTCATAAAATAAGTTAATATAGTTACTCATAATGAATATCAATCTAGACACAGAACTTGCGTAAGCGCTCAGTATACATCCACGGCTCTGCACCGTCCATAAAACAGGACCATTTGAGAAATAAGCTCAGAATCTGATCTAACACCAGGATGTAAAATCAGTGACCCCTGATAGAGCAGGAAGACGTCACACACAGATGGAAAAAAAAAAAAACTTGCCCTTCTGTCCTCTTTTTAACTTCCATAGCGCACAAACTGAGGAATCGGAAGTTTGCTCTTTGAAGAATTTTGGATGATACAAAAAATTGTTTTTGTCCTCTTCAACCTTTTCTTGGGCAAAATGACATGTTCCTGGTATGGTGGTTGTTGGTCTCATTTTTTACTTCGGTATGGAGAAGTATCTGGCCTCTATTTGAAAGGGGCTAGTAATTATTTTGAGATCGTATTTTGAGAATGACTT